ACTCTTCTTCTCTCTTCTCTCTCTCTCTCTCTCTCTCTATATATATATATATATATATACATATATATATATATGTACATATACATATATATAACAAAAAAACTCGAACTGGACGGAAACAATACCGGATGATTAGTAAGAATGTCACGAAAAGGGGAGTCGCTATCACTGGGATGACCCGCAATACACCTTTCATCCATTATGAGCCCAATTAAGTGGTCAGCCAATTCGCGTAGATAATCTACTTCATTTTGCCGTGAGCTGAGAGCAAAATGTACATCCGGCATAGCTTCCAGGATTTTCGTTTCAACCAAATGAGATGAAGACATCTGAATGATAATTGATTGTGACCGAAAGTGTGAGGTGAAAGTTATAAATTATTGGAAAAGGTCAGATATAATAATCTGAATCTAAATCGATTTTTAAATAAAATTAAAGTTTTCTGGTTGAAAAAACATTGCGACAACCTTAAGGGATTCATTATATTTAAGTGGAAAATCTCTCAAAACAGAAAAGCGTACGCTTTTATCAATAGTTGCTCTTAAGTGCTCAACCCTGACACAATGTATTGCTGCCAGCGGTACAGCCTCAAACAAAATTGTCGAAGATAGATCAATCTTTTGAAGGCGCAAATATAAAACGGCAACGGCATAACGAATCTGATATCTAAAACAATTTTAATGCAATTCTAAAATTTATATTTTACCAGACGATTTCATGGTTTACATATGTTGTCAACAAAAAAGACAACACGAATGACCAGAGAGTTCTTAAAATTAAGGTATAATGCAAAAAATTGCTGAAACCACCTTATTTCATTGATAAATGTAGTATCATCGCTTATTTTCGTTTTATACCAGCTATTCACGTAATTATCAATCAGCTGTTCGATCAGTTCTTCAAGCAGTTTATTCACCGATTCCGATATTGTTACACCTGAAATGAGATTCTTTTTTGCATTTCGAAAACAGAGTCCCACTTTCGCTGTTTTCGAATAAAAGTTAAAGTCAACCTCCAGGCCCAAGTTAAGCAATTCATAAAATTTCGCATAACGAAATGCTCATGGGAAATATTTCAAATGGTTAATTTTTTCTGACAGTAACGCCAATTAGCATCCCAATACACTCGCCCATAATAAATCGCTCACATGCAACTTTAAATTTCTACAGAACTCAAAAATGCGAAGTTATGAAGGAAGCATTGGAAGCGGTTCGGAAATTGAATATCTGCTCATTTTTTTTCCAAGGTTTCCAACCTTTCCAAGGTAAATCATGGGTTCGTTTGCAATTATTTTTTACATCCGTGTTCTTGACAATAACTTCATTGGCATCCAATTTTTCGTCAAGCCAATTTTCGAAAAAAGTCCATAAAAGTTCGCCATTAGTATGGTTCATTAAAGAAGATGCCATTAAATAACCAATGGCTAAAATTGAACACTGCGCAACAATCCATAAAACACTGAAAATAAAATTACGCAAAATTTTGAAATAAATACCAAAGTATGTAGCACTTAAAATGTAAGCAAAAGGAGAAAGTAAATAAGTATGAAGGAAGGAAGCACATAATTCTAACATAACAACATACGTGAATACATTGTTAATTCAATGTAGCAAAACTAGAAAAAAAATTTAGACGATTAGAGAGGAAAATAATTATTAAAGTAAAAACAATTGACTATATCACAAAAGAAAAAAAGTTACTGCAATAAATAAAAAGATGCTTATGCAGAGTATGTGAAAACAAAAATTGAATTCAGAATTTAAAAAGAATAATTACATGAAAAAGGGATGCAAAACGAAAAAAAAGAAATGATTACTACCAATGACCACCTAAATGAAAAAAAGCAACTCATTTGAGAACTGAAAGCAAATTTTCCATTACTTCACTAATCTATAAATGATGTGCGTAAGTTATTTATTAATGAATGGTACAATTAGTGACATTAATACTTCATATTAAAATGCCAAGTTCTGGGGACCTAAACTATTTAAATCCGTAAATATTTGATAATTCATGGAAAAACATACCTATAGTTGAAAAAAATCACAGGAAAAATAATGAACAAGAAGATTGAGAGTATTCTCATGTTAGAGCTTGCCAGCAAATAAAGCCGACAAGCAGTTAATGCATCCATCAAAAAAACATGTTATAAATGAGCTGCAAACAAATTAACTTCACAGTATTTTACTTCTACTGTGGACATTAGCTAGTCATCGAAAATCCATCCCAATTTGAAATTGTTAATTGAAAACTTAAAGGCCATAAGTCATAATCTATTTCCAAAAATAAGCATTCACTTCAAACTAAGCAGCATGAATCAATACCTTAAAATACATGAAAAATTCGGTTGCCTTTACCGATTTATTCCAGAACCCAATTAAAATTACTTTAAAAAGCAAACTCCCTTAGAGACCGTTATTTTTAGAAACAAAGTCCCTCACCAAAAAACCTAAAATTGAATTTCATGATGCCTAAAACAGGAAATTTTTTCAAATCAGCGCATTTGAACGCAACCTGTAAGATAAAGAAGTGAACATTACTCAGAGGTTTTATTAGCAGCAAATAAACATTAACGGTACCACAATACATTCATTGCATGAAAAACGATTTAGAAATTAGATGCGTCACCTGCATAAAAATAATTTATCCTTGTTATCTAAAACAGAGAAGTTCCATTTTGGAATATAGAAACTGTGGGCTACTCACCGAAAGGTTTCTTTAATCCAGTAAAAAACATGTAAGTCATCTGAAAGTTGCAATTAGCTGTGATAAAAATTCTTGATTATTTCATCTATTAAATAGGCTGTTCATATCTAATATTACAAGGAAAAAAAAAAACTGAGCAAGGATAATCAATTTGTTGCAAAACAATCAGTGTAGCAAGAATCAATAAAACAAAAAATAGATCATACAAGCAAGAGCAGTGTGATACGTATACAACGTATCAACTTATTTTAATCCTAGAAAAAAAGTTATTTAAGTCCTAAAAGACTTATACTGAAAGCTAAAGAAGAAACGAAAATTCGAGTTATTAAAATTTAAATATCACTAGGCCATTTAACTATAAAACCAATACTTTTAAACGGAATTAAAATAAATTCACAAATTTAACAGATCCTTTACTGGAAGATTTTCGTTTCCTTTGCTTCCGTGATGAATCTGGATCAAGTAGTATAGGTCGTTTTACCTTATACGCGGCCGTACCACCTATACGTGGTCCACGAAGTTGTGCACAGAATGGCAAAAGAGCTGGCTTCCGTAGAAATAAACCACGTCCCTCAGGCGTATAAGCTTGTAAGCGAACTTCTCCACGTCGAGATGTCACACACACCCAACCCAGAGAAGAAAGTACCACATCTCCGCAACCTTTCCATGATCCGGGACTTTCCAAGACCATCTCATTGCCCTTAAGCTGAAAAGACAGAAAGAGCTGCTATTTCGTTCATTTAAAAATTTCAAATCTTTTGTTTGAAATCCAAAATTACTAAATCACGATCACTTAAAGCAAATACAATACATGCATGTTTGTCTGAAAAATGAAAAAATGAAAAAATCAAAACGTGAATTAAAACATAAATCGAAACTTACATCCGGAAATCGGGCTATTCTTTCTGCGTTACCAGCAGGAACAACAAGAAGGGAACTACCCAAATATTTGTCACGGAAAGCAGCAATTTCAGATGTTTTTCTTATGAAAACCGGCAGCTGTTCACTGGCAAATACTGTCAGCTGAAATACTCAAAGATTCAGCAATACAGTCTCATGTCAATCAACTGCTATATCAGAACAGAACCATAAACATTTCAAATTCAAAATTTTTCCTCGTATAAGACAAGAAAACTTTTTAGATGTAAGGTAAATCAATAACAAATTTCCTTTTGGAAATTTATTATTGATTACTTACTAGACTTACTAGAGCACATGGTCGTCTTTCTGGATAATCTCTATCCGAAGCAGGTTTTGCAGTCATCGGTAAACTGATTACATCGATCTGCGCAACGCCAGCAACGAGAAGTGATTCGTCTGAATGCATGATAAATGTTCGCGGCAAAATCATTGTCCGAGGTAAAACAGCAATTAGCTCATCCAAAGTGAATAAATTCAGGATCTAAATAACAAATATAAATTGCAGTGATATTACTTCGGAAAAGGAAAAGACTTTAAAACATAAAAATTTCCAGGTCGAAAAAGGCTTGAAACATTTCGAAAGCCTCAAATTTCAAAACTCGATATTAGATACATCAATTAGATGGCAAGAAATTCCATAAAATTATATAATTTATAAAACGATTTCCAAAGCAGAGCGAAATAAAGTACGTATACTATAAGATAATAGCAATATGAAACCTGGGTCTTTTATGAGGAACAATACTAGATAATAGCAATATGAAATCTAGGGTCTTTTATGAGG